CACACACACACACACACAAAGGATATCCAATGGCCCAATGGTTATAATTGTTGGCATGAAGTAGATGGTGTTTTACACCTGTTCACCACCAAATGGTAAAAATGAGAAAAGCTATAACATTGCAATTAATACTCAACCAAAAGCTGGCCGATAATTTACAAAGTAAGTCTCTTTCTTAATTCTTCTCTAACATTCAGCATTCCCTTGACGTCTTTGACTTTGACAATGTTGGCCATGGATAATCTATCTGGCGTAAAGAACTGGCTAGCTTCGTCGTCAATTACGTCACCAGTCATGACAGCATGCGCCATCTTGATGGCGTATAATGACGATATCTTCTGTGAGGTAAACGCTGGGAACAACTTGGCATGCCAGAGATTTGTCATTGTGCAGTCATTCGGCCACAAATCCTAAATGTGGAAAAAGAATATGATGGTTTAACCGAACTACAGTTAACACGAAACATTGAGAATATGCTGGTTAAAGTGGTATGGCAATAAAAATGTATTTTGTCTTATTTGAAAGAGCTTTTAAAGTTATATATGAAGATCCTTTACAACGTTTTCGTACCTTGCTTGGTTTTCGAGATATTTTGACCAAAAACAGTGTGCAGTCAGCCATCTTGGTGTTATAATTGACCTAATTAACTGAGTTTTTGATGACATCACAAGCAGGGTAAACTTATTAAAGGGGCAGTATGATCAAAATTTTTATTCTCGTAAACCAAAGCTTAAACGAAAATGCTCGTAAAACTGTATAACTTGTTTTGAAGATTTTTGTTCTCATGCTTAGTTCTTGAGATATTTCATTTTGTTTGTAATCATGTGACGTCATTTACTCAATTACATATATAATGAGATATCAGTAATTAACATTTTGATTCGACGTTTCGACTAGCTTGCAGTCATCATCAGGAATCGACAGTAATTGTTGTGTATCTTTGCTATTTTTGATCGATTTGTTAAAAAACACAGTATGCTTAATGATGCAGGTTAAATTAACAAACGCGCCGCATCTTTCGAAATATTTTGATAAAAATAGCAAAGATACACAACAATTACTGATATC